ACTATAAAAATAAACCCAACTGGTCTAACAGTGAAGCTGATGCTTTGCCTCCTGGTTTTGTTGAGGGCACATCAAATAAGGAGCTTGTTTGCTTTGGATGGGTGCCCCAGATGGCACCCATCAATTGGGGGGTCTCTGTTTCATTCTGGATGAGGATCTGTAATTGAAACCCTGCAATTTGGGCAGTCGTTGTTGTTTTGCCATTCATTATTGATCAGCCTTTGAATGCAAGGCTTCTGGTGGAGAAGGGTCTGGCTGTTCAAGTGAAGCAGCTAAGAACCAATGCAAGGAAAGCTGCCAAAATCTTTGGAGATCAGAATCTGCACCAAGACTACACCGGTGAATTTGTCCCTTTTCTAAAAAGAAATGTTTCAAAAAGGTCCCTCTCTCTATCTCTCCCCTCCCATGTCAGTTTGGCAAAATGACCTTATTTCATTTTATTTTAAGAAAGCTAGATGACCTATTTTCAATGTTACGTACCCAATTAATTTTGAGAGTGTTATATATTGAAGTGAACATCTTCATGCTTAGAGATGCTGGAACTTGGGTTATTGCCACTATAATATTTTGGTGCATAATATATTCTAAAACCTGTCATAGAAATATAAACTTTAAACCCCCAATTGGGATACATGCTTACCAACTTTTGGTTAAATAGAATTGACACCACTACAAGATTGAAGTAGTTCTATCTAATCTTATTTTTCTTTTTCTTTTTTCTTGTAATTTTTTAATTAAATTCCGACCCGATATGTGTGTCACGACTCACGTCAATAAATTAGTATACTTTTTTAGTATAACCAGACCGAATCGAATGAACCAATCCGGTTCATAGCTCCCACTTTTGCAGAACGTCGGTTTGTTGAACCAAATTAGTTAACTCCATAAGACCTTAAAAAGTTTTAACGGATTTTAGCGAGATGGACAAAATTAATGTGTGAATTAACATGAAGAATAATCCATGACACAAAAAAGATAAACAAGTATAACTCGTAGTTTCGTAAAAGTCATAAATGTTTGTGATAACCTTTCTTTTGTTATTTTCAACTCGGCCATAGTGTAGTACCCTTGGTTAGACTAACTTAGACGTAACCTCCCCTCCACAATATTCATCCCCTTTTCCGACAGCAAATAACCACACACTGACAAAACCAAAGTACCAAAGCAACAAAACAATAAAACAAACCCCATATTCAAATATGGACCACACCCAAAGCATAATGCCACAGAAAAAAAAGTCCTCATCACAGAAGCAAAAGATTCTCAACACAGGCAAAGCAAAACCACACATGTGCAGACAAAAGAATACTTCTCTCGATCACTATTAGAAGATTCTTGCTTCTAATTTCACTTTTGCAGATCAGTTTTACAACCCAATTTCTCAGTAGAAATGGGTCTGACTCTGATGGTGTCGACGACGACCTGGAGGATATGGGTTTGAGGCGCGAGGAGGTAAAAGGGAGTTTGTGTGACGATTATATCCCTCATAAATGTGATGGCTTTAATATACCTACAATATACCCATAATAAGTAAAATATAAGTTATATTATTGCATAATAGTAAATTATTAGGTAAATTATATCCAAAATGCATTTATAAAAGTTGGGTATATTATTTGAATAAGAAGTAAATTCATACTAGGTACATTATTTTTCGTAAAAGAAGTAATAAGAATGATATTTTTTCAACATAAAAATATACGTATGCTATTATATTTATAAAATAATAAAATAATAGATAATTAATCACGTATACTTCATAAATAAATTAAAAAATATATTTTCTTATTAAATAAACCGATTAGGTATGTTAAATATGAATTTATTGTTAAATTTAAAAAAGTTTTCAAATTAATTTGTACATCCATTTGGAGATCTTTTCCAATTCAACGTGTGTCATTAGTTACAATCCAATTAATGTGATCACATTGTGGAGATAATGTGATCTTGGAAGGGTGTCTATTTTGAGCAGATTGGAAGTCTTTGTTTTGTAATTACATTGTGGTTCTTTTCCTTGTTTCTATTTGAATAGTCTGCGCATCTTGTTAGGGGGAGTTGTTGTTGTCTTGTGTTTGAACAGCTGTAATGTGATTTGTAATCAATCTATACTTTGTGTTCAAATCAGATTTTATGCCCTCTGTTTATTTCCTCTACTTGCTGTTTTATTTCCTTGCCTTTTTTATCTTTCCTTATCAACAAGGGGGAGAACACTCTCAACCCCTTATTGCACATATTGCATATGGTTTAAAATTTAAAATTCTGAGATATAATATGCTTGTCTTGTGCTGGAAGTTTGGTTACTGTTTTTGCAGGTACTTCTTTTAATCATCTTCTTAGGATTGGTTTTGGGTTGAGTGTTCATGAGAGAGTGTGTTGTCAAGGAAAGCCAAAAAGGGGGAGATTGTTAATGTATGAATTTTGATTAATTCTTTTGGCTTCCCTTGACAATTTTGTAATAGGA